TAATGCTTCGAGCTTTTTTCAATTGTGCTCACTCACGGTGTTCAAGTGATTATTTATTGAAATCAACATTAGAGATAATATCGTGTTGATAATGATCAGAAAGCAATTTATTAAAAGTTATCAAATGCATTGCAACAAGATAAGTACATTATTGATAATGAAATGGCTTTGTTTCGTCCTATTAGACAATATTTTTTTTTAATATAAAATTTGCCCGACAATCAACATGTTAAATATGTACATATATATATATATATTTACAATTTTTTTAAGATTCAATGATTTAACGTTCAGATGACGGTGCTAGAGTCCATTTTGACCAAGACGTAACTTAAGTTACAGACTTCATTTAACTTTCCAGCTTCCGATTATTAACTTAAACTATAATAATTTTATTTTATTAAATTAAATAACATGGACGATTTTTTTGGAGAACGTATGATGAAGATTACATCTAGAGAAGTTTATGGATAGCAATATACATTTAGAAACGTCCGTTGTCTGGGTGTTAATAATATAGAATTATATACAATAAAAAAAGCTACTGCCGTAGAATATATGTCAACGTTCTTTAATATTCAATGTTTTGTCAACTTCATGGGAAGTTACTTTTTCAGTGAAAAACCGAGAACGCCTGCCGTCATACAATCGAAACCGGAAAGACCACGTTCTTTGAGTCTTTACTCTGAAGAAGAACAGAAGCAGCGTACAAGCGAATTATCCACGGTTCCGACACCTGCTTTACCTGATCACCAACCCACTCCCCTAGCTACCATTTTACGAGAAACAGAGAAAACCGAAAAGAATGTGAAGCCATCTCCTTCCTGTAGTCAAGAAGTAGTAGCTGGTAGCAACCAACACTCTCGTTTGGACCTCAAATTTTACCATTCACCCCTGTGGTAAAGCAGTTGAAGAAGTGAGGAATTGACATTTCTTTAAATAGAACTATTTCATATTTATTAACAATCTTAGAGGAATTGTAATGGAAAATTGTATTGCTCGTGTATGTGACGAAGTATAAAAAAAGAAACTATAACTTCCACGGTAGAACAACTGTGGGAAGATAGTTAATAATGACTATATGAAGTGGTAGTATTTATTACAATAGAATGTGTTCTCTTTTCAAGAAAAAGAAATGCATATATTTATTAACAAAAATAGTATTCTCGTATTTTTTATTCGAAACGAGTTGCGTACAAAGGTGAAACACAAAAACTTTTTTTAATTTTTTGATAAGACTATAAGTTTTAATATCTTCTCTCTTTATAATGTTGTTTTAAATTTGTATGAAATAATCTAATTATATGTGTTTCGAATGTAACCGTTCTCAGTACAAATACCTAAAAATAATGAATTTCCATTATTTGATATGATTGTGACATTCAAATTGTTTGGTGAATATTCACAAAAGAACGAACTCAAATGTAGTAGATAAGAGTCGGGGTAGAATTCATGTGTAAACTGGCTTGTAATTTTATATACACATACTTAGTCAAAGGTGTAGTGCCAGCTATTTCTCTAGTAATGAAGAAGGAAAATATTATTTTGCTAAGGTTTACAATGAAATTTGTGTACCAAGGTAGAAAGTAAATAATTTATACAACTCAAACAATTTTGTTACATCCCTGTAAGATAATATTATCCTTATTCATCAAACATGAAACTTGGACTCACTATATTTTATCGGTGGTGTAAATCAAGTTTTGATAGATGTTTTCATGTGCAATAAAATGATTTCCGAATTTGTTATGTAAATTATTTATTTTAATTTTTTGTAAAATTAATTTCAATATAAATTAATTTTTCAATACATTCAGTGTTTCATTAGAATAAAATATACTCTTCGTATGAAAGTACTTGTCAGACATGTTTATAAAAATATTGAGTTCGTAAAAGGCACTATGCACTTGAAATAATGGAATGCTACACAAATATAAAAGTGATAAAAATATAATAAATTACTATAGTATAAAGTATTCCTTTTTATTTTACAGTATAGTAATTGATATAAACAATCCCCCATGTACTCACATTTAAAGAATAAGACAATATCTATAGTAATAAAACTACAGCAAATATTGCATTACATTTAGAATCACATTATCAGAATTGCATGTATCACAAAAGTCAAAATATAAAACTACGTCTCTGCTCCCTCAGTTCCCTCCATTTTTTCGTCAGTTATCCAAGAAATTAAATTTGTACATGTCGCAGGTTCTAAATACAAAATGCTCATAAGAATTCCTTCAGCGTACCCTATAAGTGAACCCGCAGTAATGTCAAGAATATAATGCCTTCTCATTAAGACCCTTGAGAGAGATATAGAAACTACCCAAGCTAACAACGGAGGATGAAATATCGTAGGTAGAGGCCATAGATAAAAGAAGAAATAGGAAAGTAACACTGCCCGAGAGGCGTGACCAGATGGAAATGAATATTTGTCTGGTCCTAATGCAAGAGGATCATTGTTAATGGCAGGACGTCTTCGTCTAGTAAGTGCTTTTAATAGGCCGATAATAATAACATCTAACAACAGACCTAGAAATAAACTTGAGTTAAATTAAGTGGAAACATTTAAAATTTTGATGCTTACCTATTAATAAATTGACCTGCACTTGAAATAAATTTGGTTGGTTGAGTATCCAAATAAGTGCAAGTATTGATGCAAACCATAATACTCCATGACAAGATATCTGTATGAATAATAATAATAATATAAGTCGATAAAAAGAAATCTATTTTCTTAACATCTTTTAGTTTTGACTACTAATTTTGGTACATAACAATTACAGAAAAAGATTTAAATTTAGTCTATTTATTATCATTCTCAAAAGAAAAAAGCTAGTATACATACCTCTAGTACTTTGTAATGTATTTGTAACTGTCTCATTGGCATAAACTTTTCAACAGATCGCACGAATTTTTCTGTTAGTTTCCTATCTAGGGCTAATATATTACTTAGCCATGGTGCAATATTTCGTTTGCTCTATTAAAAAAGATAAAACATTTATTATCCAAATTCATAACCATTTACATTATAAATCACTATTTTGTTTACAGCAATAACTAATGATTTAATAATAGATTAACGTAGATTGAAATTAAAAAATCATATAAACTACGTTTTAACACTGTTGACTATAAAATCTGTTATTATATACTTTTTTAATAAAAGAAAATCCATTTCCAAGAAGTAAAGGAACAACTTTTTAATGAAAGAAATATATCGAATATGATCGAACTTATTTACGTTACGATTCAATGAATACCGTTATGTTCAACAAATAAATGTATTGTAAAACATAATGGTTAAAATTCATACCTCGTCCATGGTATACAGAACTCTTGATTTATCACTTTTACAATGCGATGTCACCTCAATTCAATGGTGTATTCTTATCTGATAGCCTCGTTGCACGTCGTCTGTGATGGTAATGTTCATAGGGCAAAGAACTTCTACCTATTGTGCTTGTTGTCAATTGAAAAATTGTCACGTAATTGCAGTGTTGTCCGAAACAGAAGACCCTGGGAAACCCCTCATTGGTGTTCAGCGCGAGCAAGCGCTAAAGCCTCGAATGCTGGCTTCACCTGAGTTTACCTGGTTTTACACGTCATAGACGAGACGAGAGACATGAGTCGATGATGCGAGCGTGAGACGAAGACAAGATACATAAGCGACATAAACTATAAGAGTATGTAGATCAATTTCTACCCAATGTATTTTCCTGCACACGCTGTGCTATTGGCTAGCAATCTAGATTTTCAAGATCGAATTTATTGAGGTTCCTATAACGGCTTTAAAAGATATTAACAATATTTCAAAAATATTTAAACATGAATAACTCTTTTGAAATGTATTATACAATATGTAAGAAGCAATAAAAAGTCATAAAAATCAATGCGTTACACATCGATGTTGGCCACAAGTTTCATCATTGTTTCCTACTGTAAATATTTTTTACACTGCTAGAGGGCGACACTGATTCCATAAAATAATTTGAATGGTTTAACCTTGAATATGGAGCCGGTTTAACTGTTAATTCCGTAATTCTATTGTAGTTTCTAATATTGTTTGGCATTTTTATCAATTTGCTGAACGTTGTTACTTAAAGTGTATGTTCGTTTATAGTAAATTACAAAAGTATTGATTAATAAGAAATACAGGAGGGTAACATGGAACCGTCAAAAATGATACGTCGAACTAAAGAGTAAGTGTATAATAAATTTATCAATTTGTTTATTTTATTTCGTAATAATTGTTACTTGTTTTTAGCATGCTTAATGCCTCTGTATGCGAACAGAGAGAAACAGGGAGAAGAAATCTAGCAGACATCAGTTATCAAAGTTCTAGCCGTACCAGATCAACGATGCATCCATCAGAGTTTCTTCTGCCACACAGTAAAGAATAGTTTTTAAATTTCTTACTATCATACGTCTTCAAATTATGTGAGATATTAGCCAATGTATCGTTCTAGATCTTACAAAGACTCGTACAGTGGAACGAATATCGATACGTACGCCTCAGGTTGACAAAAGTTTTGACGATGAAGATACAGAGATGAAACTTTTGTACGACAAATATCTGCAAAGTCTGATGGCAGAGATTATATTTAAGCAGAAGATGCAGATGAAGGAGAAATTAGCTGTATCGCAATTAGCATCGCTGGCCAAGGAACTGGATCACAACAAGCAGAAACTATTCGAGCTACAAACCAGAGAGAGAGATATAATACATTTAAATGCTTTGCAGAATGAAATAGACTTACAAACCGAAGATGTAAAGAAATATATTAGTAAGTAACATGGCTGAATATTTACATTAATGAATTATTTTAGGATTCTGTTGGATAGATAAATTTGTTATTTAAATTACAGAATCCGATTATATTCAGAAGATAGAAAATATTTTATCTCAATTACATATTGTTTTAAAAGACTGCGATGTACTACGCTGTGATAATGTGATTCTACCGGAAACACCCTCGGAATGGGAAGAAACAATTCAAGCGCTAAAATCTTGTTGCGATACTTTAAAGTCTATTATGGTTATAATTGGGCCTCATATCGATGCTTATCTATCTGTTAACGAAGACGTTAAAGATTTTTTGAATACTTACAATACTATCGAAGATCATCATAAAAGGTATGATTCAATTCAATGATTCAATCTTTTAAGAATTTAATTATATTACACTCAATGATATATCATGATTCTAGATTGGAGAAAGAAGTTAACCAGTTACAAGCTCTAGCACTGAAAACCGTAGCTCTATCTTTAATGTGAAGTTACATAGAAAGGAACCGAAACAAGTAAATTAATTTCAATATCGAACAGTTAAGAATTTAAGTGCAATAATACATCAAATATTTCATGCACTCGATAAGAGCCTCAACGTCGTTCATAATGTGTTTAATGCAATAAGATATAAGTAGTTCTCGCTATTTTTTAATAACGATTGTATATTTATAATAAAATTTGATCTGGAATTTTTCCACAAAATAGCATGGTACTATATTTTCGTAACCAAAGCATTACACGCGCGTCCAAGTTATCATCTCTAACAATTGCCGTTAAAAAGTAAATACCGCAGTCGTAGTATTCAAATAAAAATCGTCAAACGGCGTATTCGACCTAGCAATAGAATTAAGATAACAGAAAGCTGTATCTCCATCCCGTCGAAATGTACGCGACGAGACAGTACGCATTTACAAATTTCGTAACGGTACGCGTGTCGCACCCCCGAACAAAGATGGCACTGCGAACCGAATTTCTTTGAAATCAGCTCTGATCCACTGATTGGCGAACAGGAAAACCGAGTCGGTAGCGTCGTGTACGCATGACCGCGACCCCTCGCCATATTTAATTTTTCCCGAAATTTTGCCGGCGTGTACCGTAAAGAAAATCGGACGGTCGAGGAGCATCCTCGATTCACCGACCGATTCGGATAATTGTAAAGTGTGCGCGGCATGTCCTTAACGCGGATCGCTCGTAGGAATCGTGTTCGGAGCTGGTCGGCGCAGGTCGGAGCACCGCGTGCATCCAACCCCCGCGGATTTTTCCTCGGCCGCGCGCGATTTTATTCTGCGCATGGAAAGCAATTTTGCCCAATCATAAATAGGGCTATTGTGGGGGGATGGTGTATGCTGCTGGCGCATTTCATACATCCGAGTGTAATGGTAACCAGATAGAGGCGTCGCGCGGGGCTATCGGCCGGTTAGCATCGTAAATACGTTACTACTTACTTTCTCCGAAAAAATTTCGCCTGCTCGTTTCACGTTTCTTTTCTCTACCTTGCCTCGTTTTTTTTTCTCCTCCGCCTCTTTATCCCCGTCATCGTACATAATTTCTCTCATTTTCGCTCTGCACGTCTCTCTCGCTCTCTCTCTCTCTCTCCCTCTTTCTTTCCGTTTCTTTCGTTTTCCCTCTCTTTACTTTGGCCTGCTATTTCGCCCCCGTGGTCCTCTCGGTGCGATACTTTTGTTTTGTTTTTTTTTCCTCTCTCTCTCTCGCGGCGTGGGAAGCTTATGTACGACGTACTCTGTGCACGGGACGCGAGTAACGGCGTGATACACGACACGCGCGCGCGCTCGTTTCCTCTGTCTCTCCTGCGTACGCGTGTGTGTGTGTGCGATTTAATCGTGTTTGTGCGTGTGAGAGAACGGCCGACCGAGTGATCTGTGACATCAGTGGTCCGATCGGTCGTCACTTGTCAAACCGACCGCATCCCTTGTCTTACCTCCATCACCCTCTCTCTCTCTCTCTCTCTCTCTCTCTCTCTCTCTCTCTCTCTCTCTACGTATATATATATATATATATATATTGTCTATTTCTCTCAGTCTCTCTATTTTCCTCTCTTTCTCGTTTTCTTTCTCCCGACGTCTCACGCTCGCCCCCCCCTCTCTCTCTCTCTCTCCCTCTCGCGAATTCCTTTCACCAGCACCCCCCTGTCTCTTGCCATCTCACTTTTGCTCCCTCTTTTATCTCGTTGCACTCATACCAACCAACCCTCGTGCCGACCACGCAATCCGATCTATTTCCCTCCCCTTCTCCCTCCCTCGTCCGCCATCCCTTCCTCCACAAGTACCAGCAGCAAAACCCCCTCTCCGTTTAACCCTCGCGGTTCTTCCCTCTCACCCTGTCGTTTCTTCCATCCAGCATCCAGCTCTTCCAACCCCGCCGCCGCCGCTGCCGCCGCCGCCGCCGCCACCCACCACCGCCCCCTTACTCTCTCTCATCAGTGTGCCAGCTTCCATCCTTCCCTACCAGCCATTTTCTCTCGCTCTTTTTAGTAATGGAGCCAGTGGCGTAGCCAGGATTTCTCCCACACGCTCTAACATACTGTTCATCGGGGGACAGAACATCGAGGAAAGCATACATATAGAGACTCTCGATGTACCCGTAAGCGATGAACCCTTGATATCTTCATAAATCGATGGAACCTTTATCAACCCTCGCAGAGAATGGACTCTGTGCGTTTTACTTCTTTCTTTTCTCTCTCTCGCTCTCTCTTTCTCTTTCTCTTTCTCTCTTTATTTCTTTATTTCTTTCTTTCTCTTTCTTTCGATTTCTCTATCTCTCTCTTCGTCTTTCTTCCGTGTTTCCGTTTCTCTTTCATCCCGTTCCCGGCGACCACGGCACCGGAAGGCGGCCGAAAATTTCGCTGCAACGGGACATGGCTACACCACTGGCCAGGACCGCGCGGAGCCGTTCGTCCATCTCTTTCGAGCCAGCAAAGTGCACACTTACAACGTTCCCTTTCCCCTTTTTGTCCCGGGTGGTAGCAGAGCCCCCGTTCACCCTTCCTGGTCGCCTCTCTGTCGGCCCGAAAACCGAGGGCTTTGAAGCTGCGAGCGCGACCGGTACCCTACCCGCCGCCCTTCCAGCTCGACCCTGCGTCCCACCCATCCTCCCTCGCCCGCGCCCCCGCGCTGCCAATCGGCAGCCCCTGGGTCCCCAGGCTGCCACCCACCGATACACCCGCCCCGCTCGCTCCGCTCGCCGCGACGACCGCAGACACAAAAACAATAACAAATCGATTCGCGAGGGCAATGGGAAGGGGTCAGCGAGGTAGGACGACGATGAGAGAGAGAGAGAGAGAAAGAGAGAGAGAAAGATAGAATGTGTGTGAGAGAGAAAGATAGAGATAGAATGTGAGAGAGAGAAAGATAGAGATAGAATGCGAGAGAGGAAGAGGGAGAGAGGAGGGCGGGGGGAGGGATGCTGTACATCTCTGTCTGTCTCTGGTCGGTGCTCTCCCTTCGTCGCCGCCGCCCGTCTCTCTTTCCCACCCGTTCCACCACCCATCCAAACCACCCCGCGTTCGTCCCTCTTTCTGGATATTGTATAGAGAACGTTATGCTAAAGTATGCATGTACGAGGGTCGGTCCAATGGTCAGGAATCTCGCGAGTTCGTTCTGCGGCAGCACGTATCCGGACGTATTTCTCTGGACTCGCGGCTCGCGGCTCGCGAGGCCGCGTGTGCACGACCCAGACCACGACCACGACCACGATCACGACCACGACCACGACCACGACCACGACCAACGTCGACGTCACTCGTAGCCGCGGTACCACTGCGTAATCTCCGGTCGACCGGTAACCGTGGAGGGATCGGCCAGCTTCTTGCTCGCACCGGGCCGCACCGAGTAACCGGGGGATGATTTGCCCGTAATGACGATCGGCCTGAATTGCGGTAGGCCACCGGACGGGCATCCGTAAGAGGAATCTTTTATTATCATTTTCGCCGCTACACTTGCCCCGGGAGTCGTACGCTATCTCGCCGAGTTCCAATCCGAAATATCCTATCCTGGATTTTTGTTGTCCGCCGATTCACCTCCGTATACCGTCTCCTCCTTTAATTCCGCTATCTATCCGTGTACTTTCTCGTCCCGTTCCTCGGACCAAGCTTTAGTCACTTTAGTCACTTTAGTCTGCTCGACTCACCCTTGTCCGTTCGTCGAAGCACGGTCTACGGCGATTGTTGCAGCACTTTTTTAACGATCGGATTCTTTAAATCGCGGGACCTTTCTTAGGACCGCCGATTCTTTGCTTTCTTTGTTTGTGTCGCATCGTTTTTTTCTTTTGCTTCCTCGTGGCTGGTCTGCTATCTCTCTCTCTCTCTCTCTCTCTCGCTCTCGCTCTCGCTTGCTCTGTACTCGCATGATTGAACGCTTGCCGATGCAGACCGTTCGCCGATGCAGACATGCGGTGACACCGTTCTGCCGATCGTGTGCTCTGCCTACGAGAACGCTCTGTTATCCGTACGCTATGATATATGTATTATGTGTATATGGCATGATTGGACTGATGTTCACTCGCGTGCCTGGTTTCGTTGACGCGCACAAACAAAACGCGGGCCACGAACGATTAAATCGCGGATATACGGATATACTACGAGTCCACGCAGTGGAAAAAGTTTCTCGTCTCTCGTCATCTAAAGAGTCTATTCTTGTTCCATCCTGAGGGATGTGTACGTTTTTTTGTTTTTTGTTTTATTTCGTCGTAGTCGATCTTCGTTTCGTCGTAGTCCATCTTTATTTCATCGCAGCCTATCATCTTGACTTCGTCGCGAACTCGAGATCCTTGCTTCATCATCGTAAAGTCAAACTTTGTCTCATCGTGTACAGTCAATCTTTGCTTCGGATAATTTTTTTCTCGTCAGATAATATATATATATATATATTTTTTTCCGTTATATGGACTGATTTATTTTCTGTATTTTTCGATTTTGTTTTTTTTTATTATACTTTCTCGATTAGAACTCGGACACCGGGATGATCCCATCGAATTTATCGCGCTACTGGAATCGTTCGAAGAGCAGCTCTTACGTTATAATTAATATCAATGTTGAGGGGTCGTTGTGTTCCTGCTAATTAGATATTCGACTGATTTCTTTTTTATTCTCCACGGATTTTTCGAAAGCACCAAGCGACGAAAGAAGGTGTTCCCGAAATTGTATTACGAAAGAGTTTATCATCGTGATAAAGGAGCTTCGGTGTTGCTCCTTGTACGATTTGTATGAAAACGATGAAAGGCGCGATCGACGTATAAATAATTTAACATTGAGTTTTTCGATTATGATTTTTGAATTATACTTTCTCGATTAGAACTCGGACACCGGCGATGATCCCATCGAATTTATCGCGCTACTGGAATCGTTCGAAGAGCAGCTCTTACGTTATAATTAATATCAATGTTGAGGGGTCGTTGTGTTCCTGCTAATTAGATATTCGGTGTTCACTGTCCATCGTCGTTCGAGAATATTTCGTCATCGCGTTGTCTCGAGTATCGCGCGTTCCGATCATTTAATTTTGTTAACTCCGGCAGCCGCGTCGGATTGTACTTTAACGATGAGCGATAATATCGTGTTGATTATTGCAAAAGTCTTTTCGATATAAGTAATCGCGTTCGCATCCGAAAACCGAAGATTTCAGGATTTTAATCATTGTATGATTATATGATTCTATGAAATTATTCCGATGGTTATAGAAAGATTGACCCCAGTCATTGAATATTATGAATTAATTATTGATATCGATTGAATATTGTTACAATATACGCGTACCTGTGTGAAATTATTTTGGGTGCGTTATCAAAAACTATTTTCAGCGAAGCATTCGATGATGCTATTTGCTCTATAAATTTATCGCGATGATTTATTCTGGTCGTTGATTATTAATTCGCGTTAATAAGTATACAGTAATGTCTCCCTAACTGACGCTCAGATTGTGCACAAAAATGGACAATTTGGGAAGAGGAGATTATTCGAGCCTTGCGGCCCGTTTTTATAATCGTTGAAAATCGGTAACTATAAAAACGAGTCGCAAGGCTCGAATAATCGTATCTTCTCTTCCCAAATTGTCTACAGTAATGTCTCCCTAACTGACGCTCAGATTATGCACAAAAATGGGCGATTTAGCAAGAGGAGATTATTCGAGCCTTGCGACTCGTTTTTATAATCGTTGAAAATCGAAAACGAACCGCGGAGTTCGAATATATATAGTTTATACTATATATATATTATATATTATATATATAGTTTACATTCATAGTATAATATAGTTGTTGACAGTCGAAAACTATAAAAACGAGCCGCAAGGCTCGAATAATCTCCTCTTCCCAAATTGTCTATTTCTGTGGACAATCTGAGCGTCAATTAGAGAGAGACATTACCGTAATTATTACATCGCCTTTCTTCGAATTTGTATAAAATGTTTCTCCTTCCAAGAAATTCGTACGTTCGAAAAAACTGATCTCTTTACAAGATTAAAAAAAGAGACGCCTTTTCTTTGCAACTTTCGCTTCTCAGAAGTCGTCGTTACGAATCGTCGCGCGACCTAATCAACACTCTCGAACGACAATTATCGATCATCTAGTTGTTCTTATCACGGACTATTAATAAGCGAAAATTTCGGTTTTCTAATAATCGAGTAGTCTCGAATCTGTTCTTCGACGGATTCTTTCCTCCTTCGGCTTGTTAGAATAATTAACACGGAGCGTGTCGATAACCGTAGGAGAAAATCGACGTTACGGAGTTCGCGTAACGTTTCGGCGAACGAAAATCTATAAATATCGTTTGCCGCGCGGCCGAAACAGAAGCAACGATGTCGGACAGTGTTATCGGAGAAACGTTAATAAGACGTTTTCGCGGTTATACGAACACGACTGACAGACCGTTTCCTTATCCATCACTCCGCCGAGTTTTTCCGATTCATTAACGTTTCGCTCTTTCTTTTATTACCATCGAGCGTGGAATATCGACGAACCGTCCGTGCCCGTTGCATCCGACTAAATTTCACACGCGAAATTCTTAGCCCCGCGAGGCGGTCGAGAGATCGACGGGCTGATTAGTCGAGACATTTGTCGTGTTATTTTTATCGGAGGGAGGGGGGGGGGCACCATTCACCGGCGGTAAAACACGAGCACTCGGTGAACGCCCGTAATCAAAAGTCCTCTCTCTCTCTCTCTCTCTCTCTCTCTCTCTCTCTCTCTCTCTCTCTCTCTCTCTCCTCCGATTCAGTTTCGAGGTGTACTTTTTTACCTGTTTTTTTCCCTTTTTTCTTCTTTTTTTTTTGCCAAATGGAAACGGTCATTAAAATGATTACCGTTTTCCCAGACAGTTTCGCGAGTAATGAGCGCGCCGGCGAAGTTTTCCAAATAATGAGTACAGTGCTTGTCCATTGCGGGCTCACTTATTAAACATTACAAAATGCGTCGCAATTAAACGCGACCGACCCTCCTGAAAAATCCATTCGGCTTCGTTTTGATACGCGGAAAGAAAAATTGTTAAGCCTTCCCTTCGTTTCCCGGCGCAGCCGCGCCGTCCGCCCCTCCTCCCCCCCTCCCCCCCCCCCCCCCCCCCCCAATTCCCCCC